CCATTATAAAAGTACCCTACAGTCAATGAACCATAGTTGTTTCAATTGCCAGAAGATACAAACATCTGTAAAGGGTGTTATTTTACACACACACAAACACACATATTGTTGTTGTGAGCCTTCAAGCCATTTCCAATTTATGGCAACCCTAAGGTGAACCTATTGCAGCATTTTCTGGAGTGGAGAATATATGATTCGTCTAAGGTCATCCAATGGGTTTCCATGGCTAAGTGGAGACTCCCCTGTCTCTGAAGTCATAGTCCAATACTCAAACCACTACATCAGGCTGGATTTCTCTCTCTCATTTGTGTGTGTGTGTGTGTGTGTATCCGGTTAGGCCATGTAAACCCACTGAGTGAGCATGAGCAAGTCACACTATCTCAGTCTCAGGGGATGGCAATGGCAAACCGTCTCTGAAGAAACCTGCCAAGAAAACCCCATGATAGGTTTGCCTTAGAGTCGCCATAAGTCAGAAATGACTGGAAGGCACACAACAACAAATGACATAGATAGATAGATAGATAGATAGATAGATAGATAGATAGATAGATAGATAGATAGAGTGTCTAATCAGGATTAAGATATTGCCTCTCTCCTCAATAATGCAAAATTGTAAAAATGTCTTCTTCGCTTTCCCATTCCCTGGCTAACATTTTTTCCATCCTGCATAGGACCTTTTAACTGTAAATGAAGGGGGAGTTGTCTTTCAATGACCCCCTCCCTCCACCACCTGTTTGGTGTGGTTTCTGGATTGCCTCAATGGCTCTGCCGGGTGGATGGTGTTGTCCGTGTACTAATCCGTAAATAGATTCCCGGTCCAGAAAGCATCTCGGTGACGTAGCATCAATTGCACCAGCCTTGCATTTAGTTGAATAAAACCACACAAGAGGGAGGCATATATATGTATGCATGTAACATCAAACTCACTGGATTAGAGAAGGGGAAACCTTGTGCTCTCTAAATCATGATTGTCAATCATTGCCCAGGATTAAGGGATATAGTTTTTAAAAACCTGAGAGAGAGAGAACACACTTGCTTTTAACTTCTGCCTACTGTGCATTTTGGATTATGTGTCTCATCTATGGCCCAGATATCCTCTTGCTTGAGTCAAGGCTGCCTCCTTTCTATCACAAGAAGGAAGTGCAACCATTTTTTGTATCTCTCATTCTGGCTTTCAGCTGGAATTGAAGCTCACAAGGGATGAAAAGAGGGAAGCCGTCTCCATATTCTCAGCCCTGAAAGGGTGGCTGTTGAATGACATGGTTTCCATCTTTTTCACCACAGCAAGTCTAGGCTGATTTCCAAATCCTGCTTTCCATGTTCATCTATGGTATGGTTGCTCCTCAGACATATACTGCTCTCTCATGTAGTGATTTAGGGGGGAAATGAATGGACCATGTTATGGCTCTTTATACTTTTTACTATGTTTTAATATGTTTGAAACTAGAATTCAGAGACCTAGCCATGTTACTCTGGAATATCAGTATGCAAAAGGGATCTTGGAGCACCTTTGAGACTATGAGCAACAGAAATCAACTTCCCCTGATGCAAGACTGATGCATAGACCTACTCTGCAAAAGCTCATGCTACAACTTCATTTGCACAATTTGTCTCAAAGGTGCTGCAAAAACTCTTTGCGTTCTGATATTCCAGACTCACAGGGCTATATCTCTAATTTGAGGCTGTTGTAGTTTGGACATATCATGAGATGACATGACTCAGTGGAAAAGATGATGCTTTGCAATTGGGAAAGAGGTAGGCTGCAGTCTAGGTGGATTGATTCCATCCAGGGAGCCACAGCTGCCCTGAGTTTGCAAAAGCTGGGAAGTCGAATTGATGAGCAGGGATCTTGGAGGTTTCTTAGTCATAGGGTTGCCATAAGTCAAAGTCAACTGCAAATGACAACAAACAAATGCTTAGACATGTGAAACTCCACAGAGACAACTCTGAAAAGAATACATCCATTGCAAAACAGACCCCCAAAGTGCAAGCACATGTGTCAGGGAGCTTATACAAATTTCACACCACCAGTCTTCCAGCCCATGGACCTTATCCCACACTGCTCTCAAAAGTGGCAAGAAAGCGATATGAGCATCATTGCAGTACTATAGCGCTAGTATAAATATGGCGCTAGCGCTATAATAGCGCTATGGATCAGCTCGCGCTATTGCAATGCCCGCTGAAACCGACATTCAAAAGAACCCGAATGATGCTGCATTTCCGAGCGGTTTCTTGTTGGATTCTGAGCGACGTCGTGTAATCACCCGGAAAACTATAGCGCTATAGCGCCTAATTCTTAGCCGATTCTGAGCGACGTCGTGTGATCACCCGGGAATGTATAGCGCTATAGCGCCTGATTCTTAGTGGATTCTTGCTGCTTTTGGCCCCGTGGGATAAGGTCCCATGAGTTCTAATGTCTCAATGGCACAAATGTCTTCAAATGGAAGATATGCTACTCTTACTTTTACACAATTTTTGTTGTTAACTATCTTCAGGTAACCTTTGACTTAGGGAGATCCTATGATTGAGAGATCTCCAATTCACCCCGTCCTCATCCACTCTTCTCAGGTCTTGTAGGTTCATGGCTGTGGCTTCTCTGATCTACTCTATCCATCTAGTATGCAGTCCTCCTCTTTTCATATCGTCCTCAACTTTACCAAATATTATTGTCTTTTCTATTGAGTCATGTCTTCTCTTGATATGGCCAAAGTATGACAGTCTCAATTTAGTCATTTTAGCTTTTAGGGATTGCTCAGGCTTGATTTACTCTAGCATCCAATTGTTTATCTTTTTGGCCAAAAGTACAACAGTTAAAGTCTAGTCATTTTAATTTCTAGGGAAAGTTCAGGCCTTATTTGCTGTTTTGTAGTTGTTGTGGGCCTTCAAGTCCTTTCTGATTCTCAGTGACCCTAAAGGGACCCTATCATGGGGTTTTCTTGGCAAAGTTTATCTAGAGCGGGTTGCCTTTCTCTTTCCCTGAGGCTGAGAGAGTATGACTTGCCCAAGGTCACCCAATGGGTTTTATGGCCGAGCTGGGAAATGAACTTGAGTTGTAGTTTAACATTCAAACCAATAGATCATGCTGGCTGTCTTATTTGCTGTAGGACCCATTTATAATACCCTAGAGGACAGGATCAAAATTCAAAATGACTTGAACAGATT